TAGTTCTCACTATTAGGAAATTCCTCCTTATTTCCAGATTGGATCTTCTTCTGATGAGCTTCCACCCGTTGCTTCTTGTCTTGTTCTCAGGTGCTGTGGAGAATTCCTCCGCTGCTTTTCTGTGAAAGTCCTTCAAATGTTGGAAGACTGCTAGTGGAGAATGGTGGGAATCACCACCACCACCTCCTGCTCTTCCTCCTCTTAACTATTCCTCTTACTTTTCTTCTTTCTTCTACTTCCCTTCCTCCTCTTCTCTTTCCTCCCATTCCTCATTTCCCTTCCTCCTCTTCTCTTTCCTCCCATTCCTCATTTCTTCTCTTTCTTCTTTCTCCTCCTCCTCCTCCTCCTCCTCCTGTTTTCTATCCCTTTTTTCTTCTCTTCTCTTCTTTCTTCTACTTCTCCTCCTCCATCTGATGGAGCTAATGGTTCTATATTAAACAGATCTTGGCAGTGAAGATCTCAGTGGCTACATTAACGACGCCTCTCTATTTATCCAATTGTCTTTGAGTAACGGGATCCCTCTGCAATGTCCCCATCCAGCATAGGATTCAAACTGCTGTCTTTGGTTCTGCTTTTTTGAGAGGAGAGACGAAGGCTGTAAATCCCTCTGCTTTTCCAAACATCTCCATCAGTTAATTCCTTTCTCCCCAAAATGTAACCCAACCATCCTTTCTCGAGATGCATTAGGCAAACAAGCTGGGCTGCTCAGCTGTTCCTTTTGTGCCCCTCTGGCTTTGTGTTGTCTATTTAAACCCCAGCAGAATGTCAAACCTGTGGCCCTCTGACCTCTGCCAACCTTTTGGAATGGCTGAGTTCAATGGACTGTCATTCCCGTCGTGCTGTGGTTAATCCGCTCTGGTCTTCCAGCGAGAAAATACCTTTTTTAAAAGGAGGGCAGGGCCAGTTCCAAAAGGCCCTTCACTAGTAAGGAGGGAGGGATCTAGTTTCTTGGGAAGAAGAAGAAGGCAACGTGTCAGCATCTGAAGGCCCTCTCAGAAATGGTTGCACAGGCAAGGAAAAGACTAAGGAAACCAAAAGACTCGGCAGCCCCAGAAGAAAAACTAGGACCAATAAAGGAGAATATTCATAGCTCAGGATTGAAATCAGAGTCCTTGGTGCTCTCTGAGCCTGCGTGCTTTCTTACAGACATTTCACGACCCAACTGGGTAACAACATCAGTGCTAGAAGGGAGAGGTGTTTGAGGAGAAGAGAGGAGGAGGAGGAGGAGGAAAGAGGAAGACTGAGGGATCTTTGGTGCTCTCTGAGCTTGGGTGCTTTCTTACAGACGTTTCATGACCCAACTGGGCAACATCATCAGTGCTAGAAGGGAGTGGAGTTTGCAGGGGGAGGGGGGAGGAGGAGGAGGAGAGGGAAGGGGAGGAGGAGGGGGAGGAGGAGGAGGACAATGACTGTAGGATCCTCAGTGATATCTGAGCTTGCTTGTTTTCTTGCAGACATTTCATTACCAAACTGGGTACCATCATCAGTGTTAGAAGGGAGAGGGGTTTGCTTCCATTTATATGCTCCATGTCAAGACAAGCCACTTGTATGTAAAAAGAGAGTAAACCCCACTCCCTTCTAGCATGTTACCCAGTTTGGCTAATGAATCTCCTGCAAGAAAACCAACAAACTCAGAGAGCACAAAGGACCCCACAGTCGTTGTCGTCATTGTCGTTGTCATTGTCGTTGTCGTTGTCGTCGTCGTCGTCGTCGTCGTCGTCGTCGTCGTCCTCCTCCTCCTCCTCCTCCTCCTCCTCCTCCTCCTCCTCCTCCTATTCCACTCCCTTCTAGCACTGATGATGTTACCTAGTTTGAGTAATGAAATATCTGCAAGAAAACAGCCACGCTCAGCAACAAACCATCTTCAAAAACCAGGAGTCATCTACAACATAAGGGTAAGGACTGTAACGGCCAGCATGTAGGACAGAAGCAAAAGACTCATCCATAAACACCAACTAGCAGTCAGAAGACCTGATGAAAATGCCATAATTTCACAACCAACACATGGAACAGACTTCACTATAGATTCAACCAGGAAACTGTGAGCATCGTAGACCAAGCCAAGTCCAAAACTTCTAGAGAATTCCTGGGGGGATTTAACTTGACATGAAAGAGGTGCTTGCAGACTAAATATGCAAAACTAAATACTCTTTGCCGTTTGCTTTTTTGGACAGTCGTTCAAGCATGTTTTCCTATAATATATTTAGAATACTGCATGGTCAGTGGCTTTACATGTGTAGAGTTGGTCAACCTTGTGAGGAAAAACAAATGCAGGCATCCTAACCTCATTGGATTGCAATTTATTTCTGGTGTTGCAACCTTCGGTGTTGATACACTGCGTCACTGAACATCTGATGATAACCTGAAAGTGTTAACATTTCACATCAGACTGTCTGGTGTGAAAGTGTTGTATCATCTCTGGGGTTCTGTCTAGATCTTTGTTGACCGAGGTCTTGATCTGTGTTTTGTTGTAAATGAGACAGCTTAGTCATCCTTTGATGTTAGATGACTCAAAGTGGCACTAGATTCCTTTCCTTCTCTATTTTCATTTTGTCCGACTATGACAGAGAAAGCAAGTTTATGGGTGTCAAAGCTTGACGGACAGGTCAGTCATTCTAACCAAATCAGTCCACCCAAAATTAACAGTTTGGAAAGGGATTCAAATACAGCAATATCAATTAGTCTTATATACCACTTCACAGTGCTTTTACAGCCCTCTTTAGGCGGTTTACAGAGTCAGCAGATTGCCCCCAACAATCTGGGTCCTCACTTTACTGACCTCAGAAGGACGGAAGGCTGAGTCAACCTTGAGTTGTTCAGGATCAAACTCCTGGCAGTGGGCAGAGTCAGCCTGCAATATTGCATTCTAACCATGCCTCTTTGTCTCTCTGGTGATCAAAAGGGTAAGCACTTATGCCCTTAGAGAAATTGGTTTCTAAACAGTTGCAAAACATCTGGATGAACTTCCAGTTCGTGATTTTTAATTACTTCTCCCATCTATCTTTTTGAGGTGATGGTTTGTTAATCATCTCAAGCTTCTGTCTGCAAGGCCAATGATGAGTTGTTTAGGAAAAATATTGCCTCAACAGAGTGGGAGTCATCCTGGCCATCAGGATTGTACAATTCGATAATGATTTATGAACATGGACAAGAATATGTAGGTATGACCTTGAGAGAAGAAGTAGCTGCAAATAGACAATAATTAGATAAGAGGCAGCTGAGCCCACAGAAGGAATGGGGACATGGCAAACATCTAAGAAGGAACCCTCCCTAGTTTATTGGACTGTGAAGGTGAGGGGGAAAAAAAGATTTCATATTTGCTTTCTTTCAGAAGTGCAAGATGGATGTTAGCCCTTCAAAGTAGTCCAGACAAGAAGCACACCCAGAAATATTAGCTCTGTCTTTATTACCAAGTTGAATGAACAGAATCTTGCAATACACCAATCTGGTAGACTAACCAGTAATGGTATGTGAGAATCACCTTGGGAGACAGGAGAAAGAGCCATAGATAAAGACCAGGGGTCTTCAAACTTGGCCCTTTTATGACTTGTGGACTTCAGCTGCCAGAATTCCTTAGCCAGCATGCCTGGGAGCATGAAGTCCACAAGTCATAAAAGGGCCAAGTTTGAAGATCCCTGGATAAGACAATGGTCAGATAAGAGACAGCTTAGCCCATGGAAGGTATTAGGATGTGGCAAACATCTGAGAAGGAACCCTTCCTAGTTTTTTGGACTGTAAAGGTGTGTGTGTGGGGAGATATCTTTTCAGACTTGCAAGAATCACTTTCCGTAACCTTACAGTAAAATTAGAGTTGATACTTATGGGTGTGCTTCTTGCCTTGTGAGGCTGACAAAGAGTGTGTGCTTATGTGTAAATACATCCACAGCCCAGCTGGGTCAGCCAAGAAATAGACTGCTTTCCTCTTTAGTTTTCAGTTTTGATTTATGCCTGTTAACCTTGCATCTAGAGCAGTTGGCTGAAAGTGGTTTAGAGTGGATTTTGTAACATTAGATGTGACTTTGGATAGATTCAAGGCAGGTTGGGTGCCTATGAAACCGGATCTAAGAATGAAACTTCTTATTGGCGTAAGGAGAAAATGGACCCTACAGTTTTCATTAAGAAAAAAAAAAAAAAGCAATTACAAATCCATTACTTGGGTGACAATTAACGTGTGTATGAATTCTTTAATTTGCAAAATACCGTCCACCCAGTGCTGGTAAACCATCTGTCACACAAGTCCGTGTTTCGGGGCAGTAAATGTCGGTCCCTTTGCCATTTTTTTAAAAGTCTTTTTTTAAAAGCATATTCAAGTATATCTTGCCTTGCCAAAATACTGTCCTCCAGCTGCAAAGAACTCTTTAAAAACAATTTCACTTGAACCAGGGAAGTTGTGCTAAGCTACAAAGTCAGACCTGAGCTACAATTGGCTGAACGCCACTCACATCATAAATGCCCGCCAAGTTATCTTGGACAATATCCGGCTGATGAATGATCCCTTCCTTTTCCAGAAGTTTATGCCAACAAGCTCTTTGTAACAGAAGGGTGAGGGAAAGTTTGGGGTGTAAAACAGAGGCTTTACAAGATCCCAAGTCCAAGTTTTAGAAAAATTCCACTTAAACCCTGAAAACGGTTATTGGTGGTGACACAACAGCCGTGTGAAGCTATGCTTCCCTTTTTCCCCCCCCTTGCTTTGAATCTTAAATCTCACTTTGAAAGACGTCGTTTTGGAGGCAGTTTCCCCATAGCAGTGATTATTTTATCACGGATTTGGAAAGGAAATGAGTATTGGAGTTGAACAGATCTGCCCCAAATAATGAGGGTTAATTAGAAGGAGATTTTTGATCGCTTCTAGGCGAGTTTAGGGATACCACTCCGCGAAGCGTGTACAATCCACAAACTAAGCCACAGAATTCTTCTTCAAAGAAGTGCTCCAGATCGTGTTCTTGGCGACTGTTTGGCTAACAAGTTCCTGAATGTTATTTTCTTCGTCAACCCCTTAGGTGGCCAAAGTGGAATATGTTAGAAGAAAACCCAAATTAAAGGAAGTTCTGGTGAAGTTAGAAGAGCACATGGAATGCACTTGTATAATGTCAAATTCCAATCCAGATTTTCGAGAAGAAGAAACAGGTAGGCTGGAGTGAAATTGTTGGTGTTGAGGATGACAAGTGTGTTCTGACGTTCTCCAGGGGTCTCGAGCATTAAACTTCTGGAAATGAGAAACCTGCTTCTGGTAACCACAGCAGTGGAAAATAGTTCATATTGCTTAAATTTACATGTTATAAATCTTAGAGTGGGGGATATGTCTTTTCCAAAGGTCTTGTGCCCAATTCTGGGCCCTTTGAGAAGGATTTAGACAAACTAGAATGGACACCAAAAAGATGGATAGGGGTGGGAAATCAAACTGTTCAAGGACAGATGAAGGAATTGGGCATGAGAAGGTAGAGTTTGGTTTGTTGTCCTCTCAGTGGTGTCCCATAGAAGAAGACCATGACTTGTTTGCCATGGTCCTCAAAGGAGAACATGGATTGCTGGCTCTCAAGTCCTCAAATTTCTATCTGGATGTTAAGAAAATCCTTCTAATAGCAAGAATAGACCAACAGTGAACCATTTAGAAAGGTGATAGCCTGTCCTTCATCGGATACATTAATTTGAATTTCTACCCTAAGAAGCTACCCCAAGTAGTTAAGAACCTCATTCGTTCTTTTTAACTCTGGTTTGGATCAACAGGTTATTCTGTAAAAACCTTCAATTAGTTGCAATGGTTTTTCTCTGGGAATCGTTTCTTTTATTCCTTTACTTCCATAAATGCATGCCCTTTGTGGCTTATTTGTTACATATACCAATGCCGCCATTATGTCAACAGGTAGACATAGGAAAAAAGGTAAAAAACGACGGAAAAAGTTAAAACCCTCCTTAAAATGGAGTCCGTGACCAGGTATGACCCATATATGGAAACTGCCTTTAAGATCACAACCAATAGAAAAACTAAATTTGACTATCATCCCTCCCGTGTCTGATCATTTTTTAAGATTTTGGGCGTTGGCTGTTGCCGGGAGCGATCCAGCAATCAAATATGATTGGCTAAGCTAAGCTCATTCTCTTCTCTTTAAAGCTACCCCTGCAGATGCTACCCCTGGTGCTTTAAAAATGATTGATAATGGAGGCTAATCAGGGCTGATATGTAATTATTGTTGATTCCAAAGAAATTGAGGACCCTACAGAGGGATGTCAATTTTTCTTGGGTTGGAAATTTTTTTGCAACGGCTAGTTTGCTGAATTGTGGCTGGCTGCATGTTTTAAAGTCATTCTTTTAATGAAAAGAAAGCTAGGTAAGAAACTGACCTGCCACAGAATCAAGCCACGGTCTTGGGAAGAGGTAATCATTTACTAAAAATGGTTGCCACCAAGGCATCCCTAATTCGAAAAATAAAGATGACTACTGAGTGTTACTCAAGGAGTGCCCATTTCCCTAAAATATGGGCACAATTAAATGGGCATTGTTGAAGGTCTCCTAGAAGACTCAGTGGGGTGCTAGGTAACCTTCTGATTTGGGAACATTTTTGTGACTTGGTCTTCATGACGGGAAGTTCACGAGATGCCCTCAAAATTTCAAATCCATCCCACAGCCCCCCCCTCTTTGCCACATCAGGTGGACCTCCAACCTTACGATAGTCTTCAGATTTTAATTCTCAAGTCAGGTGAATGAAGCTTCCAGCTTTTGGAGCATGGAAAACAGGGAAGACAGATCCAGAATTGATGGATAGAAACTTTATCTCTTTATTCTTTTTCTAGAGATTTGAGACCCGCTTGGATGGAAGGTATCTATATCCGAGGCTGGTAGTCTTTAACCTGATTTATGATCTCCAGCAAATAATGACGCGATTCAACGATTCTTTAATTACGGACGTCTTTTTCTTTCTTTTTTTCTTTTTCTTTTACAGATGTCAGGTGAAAATAAGCTAGAAAAGATTTCTTTCTGGGACTCGAATGTACAGGATTTGTTACATTCCTGAACCTACGCTGTATGGTGCTTTCTGGATAACACTTCACTCATCTTCCTATCTGGGGGGAGGGGGCAAACTGGTTTAAAGAGAGAGCGGGAGAGAGAGAGAGAGAGAGAGAGAGAGAAGGGAGGGGGGGAGAGAGAAAAACACACAACCACACACACACACACACAGACACAGAGACATGCACACACACTTCACCAGAACACGAGGGACAAATGTATAGTTGTTTAAATATGACATCGCAGCAAGTATTGTAGCAGTCTGCAAACATAATAACGACGTTTCCCTATCCGTGAAATTGAGAGACGATGACGACATGAAAGGAACAAGAACGAAGAGGAGGACGAATAACGAACTCTAAGCAGACAGCCGACTTCCTGAGAACTGTCAATGGTGCTTTTATTTTATTCCCCTCTTGTCAGATTTATTTTTCTCAAGGAACGTGCCTGAGGCCGGAAGCTGACGGACAGATTCAGATGGACTTTGGAGGCACACGCACACAAACAACAACAACAATGGTGACAACAATGGCAACCACCAAGAGCAGGAATGTATCAAATGCCCAGGGCAGAATCTAGAGTGGGTTTTTTTTTAAATTTTTATTTTATTTTATTGTTTGGCTTGGCGGTGATTTAAAAGTCTATTAAAAAAAAAAAATCCATCCGGGGCGCCTTAAGTTTTTTTTTTTTGTTTTATTTTGGGTTGGTTTTTTTTTTTTTTACACCATCAAGTTATTGAGCTTTCCTTTTTATTCTTTTGCCTAGCATTTTATTATCTCTCTCTTTTTTTTTTTTTTTGGACTAGATTTACCAATAATCCGATATAAGAGACTGCTGTAGTGACAATGAAATGGGATCATGCAAAGACTATGGCGTTTTTATTTCTCCTAGCGGGGGTGCAGACTAATGAAATGTATTAAAATAAAAATGGTATACCTATGCATAATTTTCTAAATGTTTCTTGGTTTTGTCTACCCTTTTCCTTTCTCCCCGGCCTCTTCCTTTTTTCCACAATATATTATTTAAAACTGGTGTTTTTTTTCTCTCTCTCTTTTCTTTCTCTTCCTCTTCAAATTAGCCGACGAATTAGCAACATGGTGGACAGGCTTCATTGGATGGTGGATAGGCTTCAAGGCCGCCATCTTTTCTCAGAAAGTATAGCCACGGGAGATGGACGAACTGTTAGGAAATTTCCTAAAAGTTAGAACGATTTACCAGTGGAATGGAAGTTGCCTCCAGAAGTTGTGGGTGCTCCAACATTGGAGGCTTTTAAGAAGAGATTGGACAAATATTTGTCTGGAATGGTGTAGGGTTTCCTGCTTCAGCAGGGGGTTGGACTAGAAGATCTCCAAGGTCCCTTCCAACTCTATTATATTCTGTTCTGTTAACTGGAAGGGGTGGCTTGTGATCACCTACTAGATTATATTTACTTAAATTTCATGGCTCAGGAGCAGAGCCCCCCAATCATGAGAAAATTTCCTGTGAGGAAGATTATTGGACAAATAATGCTAATTCTTACTCCTAGGGAAGCACAAAGATGTGTCTTCAGAAGAAACCTGAATTCTCAATGGGGTGCAGAGGTTCCACAAATCCCTTGGCAGGTATTGGGAAGAGGGTTTTCTTGAAGATACAGAAGTGGAGAATAATTTTAAGAATGTTGACAAAAGACTTAGTGTGGGTAAGCGAGCTTTAGGTTATATGCAAGTCAAACAAAACCAAACCTTTTTTTTTATAACATATTTAAGTCACCCACAAATATTATTGTGGGAAACCAACTCATCTGTTTCAGTGGTGTGAGATGTACAAAATTTTTCTTGTTACTCTAGTGTATAAATATCGCTGTGGCCTGGAACAACCTTGCTGGAAAACATAAAAATTCTTTATTTTTGGTATTAAACAAAGAGAAAAAAAAATGCTTCATGTGTATTCAAAAAATTGTTTTTTTTGGGGGGGGAGGTGTTTAAAGGTGATGTTTGTATTTTTTTAATCTAAAATTAATGGTTTTCTATACCCAAGAATTTATGTTCTGTTTTCTTGAGCCAGAATATTAAAAAAAAAAAAAAAAGGTGAATGAGATTGGGATATGCATTTTATGGACATATTTTTCTAGCAGTGATAGCTTATCTCATTTAAAGTATATTTATTTTCATTAGGAAAAGGAGAATGATGTAAGTATGGTGTCCTATATTTCCAAAGGGGAAATGGGTTGGTTGTACATGAGAACAATCCGATGGTGGTGCTCCTTCTTTGGCCAGCTTTCCACCATCAGTGGTAGAGAATCTTCCATCAAGGACAGACACGGAATCAAGTCTCATGTGCTTGAGTTCCTTTCTGGTTGATTTTGGCTCAGATAGCTCACGCTCAATTTTTCTCTGAAAATATAGGACTAAATAATATAGTTTATGATAGCCCAGCTTGCCAGCTCGTTTTTTAATTTACTAAATGACCTTCCTTGACTTGGGTTATTGTGTATGACATGGTAGAGAGGAAATTTCTATGGGCGTTTTTCTGTTAGACCCTTTCAGCTAAAATAGCTCCAGAGTTTGATCAGGCTAAGCAAAAAGGATGCTGTTGCAGTGATGGAAAGGGAAGGAGAAAGAGGGGCTTTTTTGGATCAGGAATTCAGGATAGAACAAGACCCCTGCAAAGAACTTTTCTGCTGGTAGCTACCATCAAGGTAAGGTAGATGACAGAAGAAGTCCATGGTCCATGAGATCATGTTTCTAGGAGCTAACAATAAGGGAGTTTGGACTGTTCCAGGACGCAGGAATAATATCTTGTACAGTAGATGTTGACATCCTGTCTCATAAGCATCAGAATTCTAGGCTTGTCCCATCCTTCCCTAACTCCTTCTTGTACTGTAGAAGGCCAAGAAATGAGCAGAACAAGTTGCAGGATGGGACTTAACGGGGTTTGATTGGGTCTTGGGAATCTGGGATGAAGTCCTCACTCAACCATGAAGCTCACAGTCTGGCTTTGACCCCCATCTTTCTTTCTCTATCGATCCAGCCTACCTTGTGGGGATAAAATTAAAGGCGATGTCCCTTTAGATTCCCTTGAGGAACGTCAAGAGATAAAGGCAATAAATGAAGATGAGTTAAAAACACAGAGTTCAGATTTGAAATTCCTAGAATATTCAGAGGCCCGTAGAAACCTCAAACGTCATTGCAAGAGAATTCAGTTATGTTATTGTACATCTGATTGTTTCCCCCTCTTTCTTCTCCCCTCCTGCTCTTGCGTAGTTTTGTTATAATTGTGTTGGTTGTATGAAATCTTACCAAAACAGTTCCAAAGAAATCGCCACTGTGTCCCACCACCTATGTCTGAATGGAGGGACTTGTACGGCAGAGAATGTTTCTGTTTTCAATTTGTGCATTCAGATGTGGATGTGTTTTTATGTGTCCAGTGTTAAATGAACTCTGTGTCCCTCCGTGGATGGCAATATGACTGACGTTACCTTGATTTTGTTCTTGATCAACATTGGATTTGCTCGCTGATTTTAATTATTATTTTTCCCCCCTCTCTCTCGGTGTTAACGTTTATCAAACAAACTTTGATACTCAAGTTTATTAAACAAAGTAATTTGAATGAAAAGGAAGTATTCATGTTGACTATTGCTTAGACTTCAAAGTCCCATTCATTCAAAATCTGGACATATGGAGAGAGGAAAATACCTTACTAAAAATATCTGCGGGTGTGTTCCTTTGAGTGTAACGCTCGGTGTTCTGTATGTGCTATGTGACCAAGGAAAAACTGTATAAAAACGAATTTATATATTTATGGTTGAATGGTGATGTTGCTTTGAACTTGATTTCGCTGACCTCAAAACATAACAAAACAAAACCTTAACATTCCACACATTCCTTCATTAAAAATATACAGGAGGCCAAAGGTTTTAAAAGAAACCAACCTCTCTTAAGTGAAACTTGAAAATCATGTGGAGATTGCCCCTAATTCTATAGTAGTAAACTTCACTGGTTCTGGTTAGAGGGAGGGAGATAGGAAGGAAGGAAGGAAGGGAGGGGGGGAGGGAAAGGAAAGGAAAGAAGGAAAGGAAAGGAAAGGAAAGGAAAGGAAGGAGAAAGGAAAGGAAGGAAAGGAAAGGAAGGAAGGGAAGGAAGGAAGGAAGAAAGGAAGGGAAGGAATAAGGATGGAAGGGAAGGAAGGAAGGAAGAAAAGAAAGAAAGGGAAGGGAAGGGAAGGGAAGGAAGAAGGATGAAAAGGAAGGAAGGAAGAGGATGAGAAAGGAAATGATCCTGGGATCTCCCATTAGAGTGGATCACTGGGAACATCAGTGATTCACTCAAAACTGTCTAATTATGGAAAAGAAACGGGAAACTCTGGACACATCCATATAAGATCTTTTCACTGCACTCTCAGATCAGTTCCAAATCTGGCTGACCAGTTCTGGGAGTTGAAGTCCGCACATCTTAAATATCTGTGGAGATTTCTCCATCATCCAGGCTCAGGGTTGTCCCAAAAGTGCTTTTCCAAAAGGCAACTGAAGTTCCTTGGGTTTTTGCTTTGGAAACCAAGTTCTGAAGAAGCTTCGTAGATGAGAAGCAAAACGTTTTCCAAGAAAAAAAAAACCAAGACAAGAAACTCCAGTTACCTTTTGGAAAAGCACCTTTGGGACACACATCTTTAAGGCTGAGAACGTTGGTTCTAGGTGAGGCTACAGCCATGCCAACATCTTTTGTCTTCCCCTTCCCTCTCCAAGCGAAAACAGGCTGGCATTTTGGCTGAGGAACCCAACTCAAAACACTGGACAAAATGAAACAAATGCCCTCTTTGGCTCAAGAAGGATTTCCTTGGTTAAAAAAATAAACCTAAGTTTTTGTTATCGGTTCTTTCACCCAATTAGCTGAGAGAGCAAACTTGCATATTGCTTTGTTTGGTTTCCCGGGCTCGAACGAAAGTCAATACATCTGGCACGGCTTGTGTGAAATAAGAATTCAGTTCCCAGGAGCCCGGCTGGGCCAGGCCTGGAGGGTCTCATATTACGGTGCATTCTACAAATTTTGGCTTCTTGCTAATTTCACGCAATGCTCGGGGGATTG